ATGTGCACCTGAAGTTAGAGGTAAGGTGCATTGCAAGACAGGCTTAATTTATTTCTATTATATTGAAAGACATCCTTGAACTATTTTGTTTATGATTTGTGAAAGTCAAACAAATTCTATGCCAGTGGGTGTTAATATGCAATGTTATTGTGATTTGCATTTCCTGTGGGCCATTGGGATGGACTGAGCGTACATTTGTTGATTTATAATTAACTTCCCCTCCTATTCTCTAGGTTAGTGAGTTTAAGTTGAGTTCATAATTATGAAACTATTGTTATGGATTCAAAAGCTAAGTTTTTTGTAAATCAGACAAATAAGATTGAGTTTATCAAGTTGATTTGCTATCTTTAGTGTCTTATGTACTTTTTCCTTATTGAGATGGTTTTGGAATCTTGAAGGGTCTTCTTTTTTCAGAATTTTCTGAGTTATCAAGGAACTCTACTGGTTCATGGTTGTCTGGAGCAAAAGTTAACTGGCCTGAAGTTCATAGCTTGAGCAGGAATTCCTTTAGCATGAATGATCAGAAATTTCCCATTGAATTGCCTGGCGGAGCTGATTTCACAGCTCATAAGCTCACAGATGGTAGATTAGATGCTGGCAGTAGAGTCTTGGATATTGCAACTTGTGGAGATGGGATATGTACTGATGTAGATTCCCAATCTGTAACTGCGGCTTCTCAAAGAACAGTTCAGGTTTTGTCTTTTTGCTGTCTGGATTCTGTATTCTTTTGTGCCTGTATATATATTTTTATATTCTTCATTATTAAACAAAGTTTCTTATGATTTCATATTCTTGAAGTAACTGTTCAGTGTACATGGTTCATTCGGTGGATGAATGTCTTTAGGTTGTATCATGCATGGTTGTAATTGACATTTTGGTGTCTCAATTTGAGGGCTCATTGATGAGATTGACATCAAATCAAGATCTGTAGTTATTTGTTCCATCACCATATAACTTGCTGTGCTTTATGTTACAGCTCGTCATTTTGATGTTCCTTACAATTAGATTTCTCTGACTGAAATCTGTTCCATTCCAGGTGCCACAGAACCATGAACTCCCTCATTTGTATCATCGTCAGTTTCCAAATAATTCTGGCCAGCAGATTTTTGTCTCTTCAAGCACTGAAATTGAGCACAAACCTGAAGATGTTGGTCAAACTAATTATAAATCAGGGGACCTAAAGAAACTTGACAGCTTTGGCAGGTGGATGGATAAAGAAATTGGTGGAGATTGTGACAATTCTTTAATGGCATCTGATTCTGGCAAGTATTGGAGTACACTCGATGCTGGAAACGAAGACAAGGAAGTATCCAGTTTGTCGCGGCATATGCAGTTGGACATTGATTCCCTTGGCCCATCTCTTTCTCAGGAACAGCTATTTAGCATTCTTGATTTTTCACCAGACTGGGCTTATACTGGAGTTAAGACGAAGGTATACATAGTTTGCTCTGATTAGGTGTTTCTTTGGCAAACTGTTAATTAAATTGCATTTGCAAAAAAATTTAAATGTAAGATAACTGATCTTGGTGATCTATGGAGATTTTGTTTCTGCAGGTATTAATTGTAGGTTCATTTTTGGGAAGCAAAAAGCTCACCAGTAGTACTAACTGGGGTTGTATGTTTGGTGAAGTTGAAGTTTCTGCTGAAGTTGTGAGTGATAATATCATCCGATGTCAAGCTCCTTCACATGTTCCGGGACGTGTTCCATTTTATATCACATGCAGTAACAGGTTAGCATGCAGTGAGGTCAGGGAGTTTGAATATCGTGAAAATCCTTCTTCTCGTGCTTTTAAATGTGCACCAGATGAGGAAATGAGGTTACAAACATGCTTTGCAAGATTGTTGTACCTGGGTCCGGATGAGAAGTGGTTATATTGCTCTATCAATGAATGTGATAGATGTAAGCTCAGAAGTACCATATACTCAACAAGAAGCATTGGTGACAAAGATTGGGAAAGGGTAAAAGAAACTTCTGGAGATTCAAAAGTTGTCTTTGCGGATGCTAGAGATAAGTTGTTGCAAATTATGTTTGAAGAAAGACTCTGTGAGTGGCTTATCCAGAAAGTTCATGAATGTGGAAAAGGTCCTAATGTTCTTGATGATGGTGGTCTAGGAGTTATACACTTGGCAGCTTCTCTTGGTTATGATTGGGCAATGCGTCCCATAGTTGCTGCTGGTGTCAATCCCAATTTCAGAGATGCACGAGGAAGAACCGGGCTCCACTGGGCATCGTATTTCGGGAGGTCAGATTGCTGTCTTAATTTTTTTTTCATACTCTTAGGTTGTTACTGTTACCCGTTAGAATTAATTACTCTTTTTCTTTGAGATAAAAAGTGTAAGTAAATTAATATGAGGCACCAAGGGAGTACCGCCCATTTACAAAAAATTTACAAGAAGTCAGTAAGTATATTTACAATGACTCCGAAATCTTCAGGACTATACAGATCATGACCCAAAGCCAAAGAACCATAAAAGTGAAACCATAAAAGTTAGAATTAATTACTCTTCACCGCAAGCAAATGTAATGATTATGTTCAAAGGAATTGTCTGGTGTTTGTTAATTTGTTGCAGTGTCATGTAAGTAGGATTAAAGGTTTTTAATCATTTTGGAAGTATGAACTACTGAACACATGTAGTCTGATGTAAGTAGGATTAAAGGTTTTTGATCATTTTGGAAGTATGAACTACTGAACACATGTAATCTGATGTTTCGAAACTTTGGTTTAATTCTCTCCACAAAAAAAAAAAGGAAAAAACAAGTCCGTTAAAAAACAAATTCAGGATATCTCTTTTAGCAAAAAAGATTGAGGAAATCTAAAAGCTCTCGTTGTGAGCTCTCTTGGTTGCTCTCTGTTCTCCAAAATTTCTTCTTTTCTCCAACAAATTTCTGCAGTTCTTCATAATCTCTTGGTTATGACTTCAAATAATAACAGGTAATATCTAACCAACACATTTCATGTAATTTACCGAGCAGTGATTTCTTGTACTCCAAAAAGGAAATAGATTTCGTCTTTATGTATTTTTTTTTTTATTTTCCTCCTGATAGGAGTACTTTGCGAAATATGTGGTCATCTAATAAGTTCCAAATGCTATTTCTTATATTTATGATTTCATCTACTTGGAAGTTGCTAATTTCAGTTTTGAATTGGAAAGTTAATCTATTAATCAAATGGCAAATAATATAAAAATGACTCCATAGTCCTG